AAAAACGTATTATAAACTGTGTTCAAACAAACGTTAACAATAAAAAATAAATCACTTTAAAAAAAAAAACAGAAGAATTCCTGTAAATGAAAATTATATACTGAGTACTGGCGAGTCAGTAGATAGTCACGAATGACGGTTCTCATAATCGTGTGTTGAATAATGCTTACTTATTATTAATATACTTGTGAGTTGTGATATTTGTTAAGACTGGTGAGTGGTGGGCGATGGTTATGGTCCGTATGGTGTTTCCAGTATGTATATAAATAGACTTTTATTTATTTTCATTTACATTTTTGCTGATAAGTGATAAGGATTAATTTTGTTTTTTGTTTTTGAATTATATGTTTCTTATATATTTTATTTTATATGATAAAAGTAATACTCTAAAAAAAAAAAATAAGATTCATATATAAATCCGAGGCCCTCTAATAACGGAGGCCATAGGCAGGTTAGTTGCCTATCCTGCCTAATGGTAAATATGGCCCTGTTCTTAGTACAGCTGCTATTGAATGAAAATCGAAGTTATTGTGCTGTTTTAATATAATATAATATTTATATCAAACGTTTTATTGATATCGATACACTATACTTGCAAAAAAATGTGTTGGTATGTGCAGGAATGCAGCGCATTATGTTTTTGAATTTACACGTTCGATTTATGTGATGATATTGTTTTGCTTATTAAATTTTATACTTATATTACTATTATTTATTTTTCTTTTGCAGACAAGAACCGTAACCGRACCAGAATACGAGTGCAATCGAATGATATTAGAGACTCTGCGTTCTTATCGAAGGACGAAAGTACGTCATAACCGTTTGTGTCGAACCTATAAAATTACATTTCATCTCCCATGATTTTCGTATTCATCCTATGCGTTCAGTAGGGTACAGAGTGTGCAAAAAAAAGTATAATGCACCAATACTACAATGCGATAATGTTAAGCAAAACGTTTACCGTCTAGGGGAGGTTTCGTTCTGATTGGATTATTGTGCGAGTGCGCTAGACTGTACACAACCAATTTAAAATGCTTAGGTACATCGAGAAGTTAACACAGATTTATATTTTTTTTCGTTATAAGTAAAAATAAAAAAGGAAATAATAAAAACATTATAACGTTTTTTCACTTATTTTATTTCTTCAACTTTAAATAATAATAATAATAATAATAAAAAAAACAAACAAACAAACACGACTCATAACTCCTGCTGTAGTCTTGTGTGTCAAACACACTGAGTCGTCAAGAGAAAACTAGAATATAATTTGCAATATAAAGAGCGAAGACTTTAAAAAAAAAGGTTTAGATATAATAACGGTAATAACCTAAACCGAAAGATTCTTATTTTCTCATTCTTTTTTTTTTTACCTCATGTTTATAATTTTTGATTCGCCTGGAGCACACATTTTTCGTACACATAAAAATGAGGCAGTTTATATTTTTCACTAAAACTTTTAGTAGATACCTACCTCAGTAAAGTTTTCTTTTACAACATGCTATTACCGTTTACCGTATTTGAAGAAAGCAAGTTTTATTTTATATTTTTATATAACTTATTA